TATTTATTTGACAGAGAGAGACAGTGAGAGAGGGAACACAAGCAGGCAGAGTAGGAGAGGGAGAAGCAGGCTCCCCGCTGAGCAGAGAGCCCGATGCGGGGCTCGATCCCAGGATCCTGGGATCATGACCTGAGCCGAAGGCAGACGCTTAACGACTGAGCCACCCAGGCGCCCCTAGTGTCTGGTAACTTTTTAAACTAGAAAATACAGAGAAAAAATGTCTATCGTGAAAACTCATCTTTTCATTAAGTTTAAAGGGGAAAGCCACTCAAGGCTTGATATTTACTCTTGATTACTTGAGAAATTCTCGTAATATTTGATAAATACATACCTCAAGATGTTTTCCGGTGCAAATAGAAATATTACACACATCAATAAGCACAACTGTATATGTGCATGTTTGTAGAAGTGTGTGTATGATTTATTTTAATAAAACTGTGCTGTGTGTACTATTCCACAGCCTGCTTTTTCTCACCTGATGGTGTCATAAACATCTTCCCATGTCAATGAACTTAGTATCACATTGCCGGTTTTTGTCAGCCGCACGTTACGCTCACGTGCCTTTTAAATATTGCCACACAATAAACTTATAGAGTATATAAATGTCTCAGTTTCGTTTATCCAAATTTCTTTTCTTGGATTTTTTTTAATCCAAAACTTTGTTCCTACTGTTTGCTTTCTGAGAATCTCTCTGTCTAAGAAAGTGGGAGGTCCATTGTTTTCTGTTCTATTAAACAAGAGAGTTGAACTTGATGAACGTTCTATTCTAGCTCTGCGATCCATGAGTCTATGAGTGGGCAAAGAATTTAAGACTGACTTAGTTTTACAAGGAAACTAAGTTCTTTCCAGGAATGAACTACCAGGGATAAATGGATCATGTCCATATCAGGGAAGGGGACCATTTCATTCATGTTAGATTGTTGAAGGAGTGAAGGAATGGATGGATGGATGGTACAATGCAAGCAGCCAAATCAAGAATAATGACACATATTCCACATCAAGTAGCGCATCTCTGTTATATAAGCAAGGTGGAAAAGAGGAGGTAAAACCTGAATTAAATGTCTTCATTTGACTTGCTATTCTCACGTCCAGATGAATATTGTAACTAACTGAGTTATAATCCAAACCATGCTACACAGTCCAAAACCTACCAAAAAAAATGGTAACAGTGCATTTAATTCATGTTTAGCTCTTATTTTATCATATGATATCTGTCAGACATTAATGCATGTACTTTTTGCCAATTTTCTGAGCATTTCTATGAGTACCACTGATCGGTTGAGGCAGTAGGGAGTAGATGACGAGGATTTACAGGCAAAAATCAAGTACAGTGATTTAAATAGAACTCATATTTTTAAAAAAATCATCTGTGATGTAATGCAAGGGAAAACTGTAAAACAATTTACTAAATCTCTTTAGATAGAGGTATGAATAGTTTGGAAAAGTTATATTTGATGCTAGGTCAAAAAGAGCTTTTTATTTTGAAATACTCCTACCTTAAAGCAGTTTTTGAATCTTTTGCTCACCAAATACAGAGCTATAGGATTAATGCAGGAATTCAGGGAAGCCATGTTGATGCCGATGTAGTCCAACACCAACAAAAAGCTGCAAAAAACGACCCAAAACATGTCTGTGAATAATACACTGCTTTATGCATGTATTCCTGACAAACTTTGGAAGAAAACTTCACAAACTTTTGTGAAGAAAAGAAATTATCCATATCCATAATTTTTGGCTTTATCACTGGTCTTTGCTAAGGATGACTCCTCTCTCTTGTCTCTCTCTGCCATCACGCCCCTCCGCCCATGCCCAATTCTCTCTTTTACAGTAAAATCTCATTTGGAAGTGCTGAGCTGGCTGCGAAGAAGGCTTTGCAAAGTGCAAAGGAGAATCGGAGCTGGTATTTCCAACTGTGGCGCCCGCTCATCATTTTAACAGCTCTGCCTCTCCATTCCCAGTGTTCTCACAAGTCCCCTTGATTCTTTCCTCTACAATAGGTGTGAAGATAAAAAATGTGAATCTTAATTGCTCCCTGAGGGCTAGCAAAATGGTACTCTCTCTGCCTACCAACGGGATCGATGAAAAAAACCTTCTGAATGGCATTTACTTACAAAACTCTGTCTATTTTACCTTTCTTACCTCAAAAGTTCACATCTATTAGGATCATTCTGATCATAAAGAGTGAGCTTCAAAATTCTGCTGAGGTGAAGGGGAAGCCAGCACAGAGCAAAGACAAGGACCAGGCAAAAGACTGTTTTGGCCACTTCCCGTCTCTGAAATAAAACCATAGTAAGAGACTAAATAGATGGTTCAGATAATCACAGCGGTCTCTCTTCCCAAACAGAACCTTTAATATTGTTTATAAAAAGTCACTGGTATTTGTAAAAATCCTGAACACCGAGCTTTAAGTTGAATAGTTAATATGAATTAGAACCAAAATGACTACAGATTCATCTATAAAAAGTAATGGCTCTTTCTAGATTCTTTTAGATTATGTAGAATAGAGTATCTCTAGATAGATATTCAAAAAATACCAGAAGCAAGAAAAAGGAAATATGCTCTAGTGTATAATAATTTTGGTTTTTCTTATTCATAATCATCATTGTAATCGTGAGTCAGCACATATTTCTGTTCTCTTACCTGCTTTAAGTGGTCATTTAGAGCAATCTGCATGCCACTCTTCTTTCTCAACATTTCACAGGTCATCAGGGTATAAAAAAAGGCAGTGATGGCCAATGGCAAGCAGAAATAGAAACTAAATAGCCACCAATCTTTATGTGTCTTGTAAAACTATGGAGAAAAGAGAATTGTATGATTAACATTCCTCTGTAAAAAAAAAAATCTTATATGCCAAATGCTAAATTAAAAAAAAAAAACAGCCAACATACTCATCAAGGAATAATTATCTTCTAGAGTAGATCCATTTCATAAAGGCTATATAGAATCTTTCAGGCCACATCTACTGAACAAATAATTAAATACTTACACTAAATGAAACAAACTTTCCCTAAAGAGCATTTTAACTCTCTAAGGCAGTGTGCTGTAATTATGCATAAAAATTTAAGCAATTGAGGAAATTAAAAATATATGGTATTCCAAATATGTTTGCCTTCACATAAGCAAATTATCCTTAATGCATTTGTGCAAAATACCACATCTGAATATGTGAAGACATCCTTGTGTTTAAGGATTCACTCTTTAACAAGTCTGTTTTCTGGAAAAAAATCGATGTGGAAAGGTCTATACAAACCATTTTGCTAAGAAGTGTATAAATCTAACTTACCAACTGGAAAATCAAAGCTGCTTATGACTTATGCCTTTTCTCTTATTCTATTTCTGCTCTTTTTTCTTTGTTTTTAAACTGTTGCTCCAGATATATCTTGTTGGAGCAGAATTTATGTAATCTATGCAGTACTTTTCCCTTTTAACTGATAAGAAACAAGAAGTCAGCAATCTCATTCTCAATTTCACATTAATGTCCCTCTTAATTCTTTTCATTACCATGATATATTCAATCCCTAAAGTTGTGTATGGTCTTCTTATATGTAAAATAGAAAATAATCCTGGGTGACACCTGGACCAAGTACATTAACTCCTCTTGACCCATTCTGGTGGGAAGAGTCTTTTACACTTAAATTAAGATCTGCCTACAAATACCAGCATTGCCATTTTCCCCCTATTTCCTGATTCAACGTTCTTGAATAAGTGGCCAAGATGAAAAATTCTTTGCAATGGCGGCTCTCCCTTTAGAGAGAGGACAGGCTTGCCTTTCAGAATCCATCCACATCAGGGCATCTTCTACTTGATAATTCACTGAAACATCCAGTCCCTCTGATGACTGCTATGTTGTCTTATGCAGAACATGCAGTACTTGTCAGTCCTTCTGGGGGAGTTGAGTAGAGAAGCTATAAATCCAGATCGATTCTCTCACGTGAATTTGGTTTATCTGCATCCCTGGGCACTGGGGAATTCTTGCACAAGTAGTGACCTAGCTTCCTGCAGCATGGGTCATTAGTCACCCTTCGCCCCACAGTCCTGGGGCTTACACTCTTAATTTATGCCAAGGACAGTCATCAATCAATAGCTTCCCAAGAAGGGAGGATCAGGGGGGAACGTAGCTAAATATTTATAAGGCAAGAACAGAAAGGAAAGAAAAGGTAAAATTCACCTGCATGAAGGCTGTTTTCTGAGTAGGAGGAAGCAAGCAGATTCGCAGGTAACGTCCTTTGTAGTCAAAGGTTATCATATCAAAACCCACAGCTTCAGGGACAGCCAGAACCACGGAGACCACCCAAATTAAAACAATTTCTACTGCTGTCCATTTCGGAACCCCGATTCCTTTAATTCGACTCCAAGAGGCAACGGCTCGATATCTGAAGAACAAAACAGAATTATCTGTCAAGCTGGCAGAGCCTGTTTTATTGAATTACATAGTTTATTTTCTAAGTAACACAGCAATCACTCGTATAGTGTTCAGGATATAACTGGCTTAAATATACGCTTTTACCTGTCAATACTTAGGGCACATAGACTCAACACAGTGATGCCCACGGAGGCCTTCTGTATGAAAGGCACCAGCTTACACATCTCAACTCCAAAGGGCCAGTCCTCAGCAAGCAGCTGCATTGAGAAGACATGAAGGTCTGTTAGGGAGATAGCCACATAGTGCCCTCTGAACCGCATTACTTAGTGGACCATAATTAACATACGGAGTAAGATAAGCAATTCCAGTTCTTCTTCTTTTCCTCATGGACTACCCCTTTGAAAAGCACCAGTGTTCGATATATGGATCAGGAGCGTGGTTGGGAATAATGAAAATGCAGCCAGTTCATGAGAAATTGTTACGCATACACAGTAGCTCAGGCTCAGGATTGCTACCATGGGGCCAACTGGGGTCAGTCTTGTAAGTTCCCCTTGGAAAAGGGAGCCTGCTGCCCTGCAAACGGCTCTTATACAGTCACGGGGTCTCTCACATGCTCAGGTCATGGCCAAACCAAAATACAGACGATAAACGGTAATAACAGATAATAAACGTTCCTCAGCTGGGGAGACTAGTCTGCTCCTACGGAGAACAGTGTGTGCGTTTGTATACTTATTCTTTACCGTAGTCAACTTGACGGCCCAGTAACTCAGCGGGAATAGTTACTCACTGCTCCTTGAACGCCCCAGACACACTCCTGCCTTCGGGCTTTACTCTAGGTGTCTCCTTATTCTGGAAGGCTCTTTCCCCACAGATCCACTTGGCGAACTCCCCGGCCTCCTTCAGGTTTTGCTCAAAGCTAATCTTTTCAACATGAGCTACTTTAACCACATTATTAGTACAGTACCTGGCCAGGCTCCCATCTCTCTTACCCTACTCCACTTTCCTTTTTATGTATAGCACTTATCAACAATTATTGCATGTATTATAACGTGTACTTGTTTGTTTTATTTCATTTTTGCTCTCTGGAATCCCTGGAGTTTAAGACAGAATAAGGCCTATGCAACTGCCTAATATAGTTCCTGTCACGTAGCGGATGCTTAATATTCAAACCCCTAAAATATATAGGCACCAGCTCTACAATGAGCAAAAAGACAGCATTCTTGCTATTATACATATATTTCTCTTCGTCTGACTTCAGACTATGCAATCGTCTATTGTTAAGCTCAGTTATTTTCTTCCCTGGGACAACTGGGTGTGCCCCACACTGGTTAATGAATCACTTTAGGTAAACATCTGGATTGAGTGTTCATGAGGTTTTGAAAATAAAGAAAAGTTTTTCAAATTGGTGTTTTTAAAAAATGTTTTAAAGAATAATCTTCCCAAAGTGAAAACTATTTTGAAACACAATTGAGTCTTTCCGTCCTTTCACTAGTGAGGGTCCCTTGTGGAGTTTGTCAAGCTGGGGGATTGTTTTATAATGGCACCAAAGGCTGAACTGTGTCTAGTATGAATATGACTTGGAGCCCCAGCTTAAGATCAATTTCATTTCTAAGTTACCCTGACATGTAGGCCAGATGGTGGCAAACTTACCACAGATACGCTTAATCTAGGGTCCTGGAAATCGACAGGGCCAGGCAGAGGGTGGAGGGAGCCAGGTGTAGGAAAGTCATTGGTATCAGTCAGTAATAGAGAGTGGCGGGGTATGGGGCAAATCCCATCTAAAAGGAGAAGCTGCTAAAAACCATGACATGATTTTTGCCAAGAAATAAAAAAACAAAACAAAACAAAACAAAAAACTTCTTGATTTTAGTCAAAAAAATTGGAATTTTTATATAAAACCTCATGATTATAAAAGGTGTCAATTAACTCATGTTTTTAAAAAAACACTGTCATATAACATTGTCTTTTTAAATTTTTTTATTATTATTTTTTTAAAGATTTTATTTATTTATCTGACAGAGAGAGACACAGCAAGAGAGGGGACACAAGCAGGGGGAGTGGGAGAGGGGGAAGCAGGCTTCCCGCGGAGCAGGGAGCCCGATGTGGGGCTCCATTCCAGGACCCTGAGATCATGACCTGAGCCGAAGGCAGACACACCCAACAACTGAGCCACCCAGGCGTCCCACATATAGCATTGTCTTAACAAAAATATATCTGTGGGTCCGACTAGTCTCTACTTGTGACTTCTGGATTGATCAATTGACTCAGAATTCTGATCATTCATTCATTCATTCAATAAGCACTTATTGAGCATTCAATATATGCCAGACACCATTCTGAGTACAGGATGCATATCAATAAACCAGGCAAACTTCCTGCTCTCATAAAGCTTATAATCTAATGCGGGAGGTAGATTAAAAACAAACAAACAAATATTCAACATGGTGTCACACAGTTATTGTCATCATATGAAGAAAGTATGGTGGGATTTTAAGTAATTTCTTGATAGGCTTCTCAGCAAGGTCTTTCTGAAGAGGCACCATGTAAGGGACCGGACTAAAATAAGAAAGTAAGCCATGCAAAGAGCATTCTGGACAAAGGAAAGAGCAAGTGCAAAGGTCCTGGGGTAAAAATAAGTAAATAAGCCCAGTGGGCTGAAAGGACAGGAAGACAGCTATCAAGGCTATAGTGGCTAGGAGATGAAGTTGTAGAAGCAGGAGTTGGAATAATTTTTTAAGGTAATACATTGCAAGCTTTTCAACAGGGAAATGGCACGGTCTTATTTATGTTTTTAAAAAGATCACTGTGGCTGCTCAATGTGGAATAGAATGTGGGGTCAAGCCGGAGCTTGTGGTGACCGGGGGGCTGAATAGAATGGGTTATAGACGAAATATATTTTGAAGGTAGAGCCAGCAGGACTTGTTATGGGTTGGATATAAGATATGCGGAATCAGGAAATTTTAAGAGGTTTGTCATATGAATGGTGGGACCATTTACTGAAATGGGGGAAGACTCAGGATACCTCAGGTCTGAACCAACTATGAACTGCCAATTGCCCTTGGAAACATAAGAATAAAAAGTTTCCAACCAGTTCCAAGGACTCCACCAGACCAGCTTGCTATAAATTAACCAGACAATATTCTTTCTAATAATTCTGATTATCCTTAGATGAATTGGGGGGAAAAAAAGGAAGGAAAAAACCTGACACTTATATGGCACTTGTGATGGGTTTTCTAAGCACTTTACACGTACAGTATCACTGAAATCTCCAAAGGAATCCTGTAAGATAGTACTATTGGTGCACATTTTATAGATAAGAAAACTGAGGCACTTAGGGGTTTATTAACATGTTGTGTTGATTTTCAATATGTCCACAAATTCTCGGCTACTCCTCCCTTACAAGGGTGAAGCCTCATTTCCCTTCCCTCAGAGATGTGGGCTGGCTTTAATAATTTGCTTTTAGTGAACAAAATGTGGCCAAAAGGATGAGGTGTGATGTCTGAGACTAGTTCACAAAAGGCCTGTGGCTTCTTCCTTGCAGTCTGGTGGATCCCTCATTCTCGGGGAGACCAGCTGCCATATCAGGAGGGCACTCAAGCCCCTTTATGGACAGGCCACCACGGTGAGGAACTGGGGCTTCCTGAAAATGACTGGCACCAATGTGTCAGGTGTATGAATGAGAGAATCCTCCAGCTTTAGGCAAATCTTCAGAAAACTGCAGCACTTGGGAAATATCTTAACTGCACCCTCATGAGAGAGAGACTCTGAGCCAGAACCACCCACTCTGGTTCCTGAATTCTAGACCCACAGACAAAGTGTGAGATAATAAATGTGTATTGTTTCAAGCCACTAAGTTTCGAGGTTATTTGCTTTATCTCATTAGACAAGTAATATACTTGGTTTACTTGGTTTATTACTCACATGGTTACTTGTCCTTGTAACTTGGTTCATTACTCACTTAAGTAACAGATCCACATTTGAACCCATACGGTCTGATTCTAGAGTCTATATAGTGTTTTGCAGAAACTGACCATAGGAAAAAAAGATGGTTTAGACTTAAATCAAGATTAGTATTTGTAAACCCATAGTTATGTGTCAATGGTAAAATATCTAGACGCAGAATAAAATTTCTCCTAATCATCTAGCTATTTTATTGTTTAGAATATTTTTATTTTTTTAAAATTAAAAAAATGTTTTAAAGATTTTACTCATTTATTTGACACAGAAAGAGAGAGAAAGAGAGTGAAGGAGCGCAAGCAGGGAGAGTAGCAGAGGGAGAGGGAGAAGCAGGCTCCCCACTGAGCAGGGAGCCCAACGTGGGGCTCGGGCTCGATCCCAGGACCCTGGGACCATGACCTGAGCTGAAGACAGACGCTTAACCAACTGAGCCACCCAGGCATCCCTCCTTCTCACATTTTTAAAAAGATTTTTTTTACTTGAGAGAGAGAAACCATGAGCAGGGGGCGGGGGAGGGCAGATGGAGAAGCAGACTCCCTGCTGAGTGGGGAGCCCCATGCGGGGCTCGATCCCAGGACCCTGGGACCATGACCTGAGCCAAAGGCAGACGCTTAACCGACTGAGCCATCCAGGCGCCCTCACCTAGCTATTTTATTCATATAATATCCAAAACTTAGGAAATTTTCAAATATCTTATTGTTTCAAATCATATCCAAATATGCAAATATTAGTATCATGTAGGTACAGCCATCAGATGAATCAAGATGAATGAGGGTTCAGGCCGCTGAAGGGAAAGAAGTCTGGCCAATGGAAATGAGCTCTGCACTGAATCTCGGCCCTGTTTTGAGGTTACTATTGTTTTTGGCTCAACCTAGAAATTAGATGATTGCTCTTCATACCACTGGGAGGCCTGCAGCCCAACCTCTGACCCAAGTTATCACAGGGCACAGGGAAACACAAACTGAAAATTGTAACTATTCTCTTCAAGTTCAACACAGAGATAGTCAGAAACCTAATCATAACTGAGGGATTACAATTTTCTAATCTACCCTTCCAAAGGGAAAGGAACTGCAAACTAGGGAGTATTAATTAACCTTCATCAGCTTTCAGCTTTTCGGACTTTCAATTCAGGTCTGAACGCTGCTGGTCCTGAGAGGCCACAAAAGATGAGAGACAAAGTGCAGGCTGGCACTTCTATTGTTTCATAATGAGAAGGGTGACTTTGGCAACCCCTGCCTCTCTCCAATCAGAAGGCGTTGTGGAGATGCTGAGGAGTCAGACACCCAGTCACAGAAACCAGGCCCACTACTGATGCTCATCTTGGTCTTAATGTCTTCCAGTAAGTCTTGGGCAATCTAGTGCT